ATTCGAACCCGCGACCCGCAGATTGCGAGTCGAGCGCCTTAACCACCTGGCTATGCCGGGCCGAACTGAAAAGTACCCAGAACTTGCAGCCAAAGCAGTTCGTTTTCTGTTGCCATTTGATATTATCTACCTGTGCAAACTGGATTTTCATTACCTGTGGACTTGAAATCCAAATGCAGAAGCAGGATGGATGCTGAACCTGATTTCTGGGTAAAGCTGACGAACGTTACACCTAACATTAGAGAACTTTGCTCATAAAAACAGGTGCACCCTTAGCATTAACACGTAGAAAGGTAAGTCTGTGATTAATATTAATATTAGAGGGATTTTGTGTGCTTATTTTGGTTTCTTAAATTGTAGTGTTATTATATGGTCTACAGACCTCCCCCCCAAAAAAAGATCAGGTGGTCCACGAACAAAAAAGTGAGGAATAATTGGTGTAGTATATAGAACATTACCTTTATGTATACACCATACTGCAGTTTCTTACGATGTAGCATCCCACTTCTTACAACATATTTTACAATTACTAAATATTTTATAAACATAACACGTTGAAGTTGTTCGCTGTTTCAAAAACTGGACGGCAACCGTGCTTAGAAAATGTGTTAGATACTTTCTCTTCTAAAGAGGCCTGGAGGTTGGGGTGTTCGACTTACAATCTGAGGGTGGCAGGTTCGAATCCCTGTCACACTGAACATGCTCTCCCTTTTAACTATGGGGGCATTATAATGTGACGATCCATCCCACTACTTATTGATAAAAGATTAGCCCAAGAATTGGCGGTGGATGGTGTTGACTAGCTGCCTTCCCTCTAATCTATCACTGATAAAAGTGAGGATGGTTAGCGCAGATAGCCCTTATGTAGCTTTGCATAAAATTCGGAATATACCAAATATTCTAAAGTCTACGTTTTTCTAAGTGTGTGTAGACTATATTTCTATATACAAACTTTATCAACGCATTTCTGCAAATGAGCTATTTTCATCCTGTTTAATGTGGAGAATCGAAAAAAAAAATGATCCCAAGTATTTTGAGGTTCAACAGCTGTAATAGGTACAATACATACGTGCTAGATTCTGGTTTTATTGTTCTTTTCCTGTTTTTAAGCACACTGGGCTATCTGTGTTCTGCCCAACACAGGTATCAAAACCCGATTCTTAGCGTTATAAACCTTCAGATTTACCACTGAGACATTAGGGGGCTCTTTGCTTGTTATTAATCAGAGATTAATGAGATATTTGCTTTAGAAGTCATTAACTGCATTTAGACTCTATAGAGGCAACAATATGAACATCTGAAGATGGTCATTCTTGAATGAAACATTATTTTAAAAAAAACCCAAACTGTTACAATGTCGTTAACAGAAGCACTAGGTGATGATTTAAACTTCCAGAAAAAAAATATTTTTTTTTTTTTAAATTCTGCACATGCTCAGTAAGAAATTAAGTAGCTGGTAAGGATGGCTGCTCCAGCTGGTAGTAGTTATGCCAAACACCTGAGAAGATGACAGTTACCTGATGATGGCCACACGAAACATTGTAATAAAGTTAGAAAAATAAAAATAAATAAACAATCCACTCAATAGCTGTATCTCTGGACTTTTATTAATGCCAGACACCTGTTGAACTTGAAGTAGTCATTACTTGTGTAGATAAAGTCAATGGTCAGTACAAAGTTTCCTTCTATAGGTCAAGAAGACAAACGTTTTTGGCTAACACTGTTTTGTCATAAGTTCGTTTGGGATACAATGTTATATTTTGAATTTTTTTTATTAATAAATACATTAAAAAAACAAAACCAGAGGAAATTATGCTGGGTTTTAAATACTGTTGGAGCACCCCTAATTAATAAAGATTAGCACACTCACCATTTTGAAACTCACTAAAAAGTCCAAGTACAGTACATTAGCACACTGACCATCTCAAAACTCTCTCAGAATTCCAAATATAGTACATTAGCACACTGACCATCTCAAAGCTCATTCAGAAGTTCAAATATAGTACATTAGCACACTGACCATCTCAAAACTCACTCAGAATTCCAAATATAGTATATTACCACACTGACCATCTCGAAACTCACTCAAAATTCAAAATACAGTACAATAGCACATTGACCATCCCAAAACTCACTCAGAAGTTCAAATGCAGGACATTAGCATACTCACCATCTCAAAACTCACTCAGAATTCCAAATATAGTATATTAGCACATTGATCATCTCGAAACTCACTCAAAATTCCAAATACAGTACAATAGCACACTGACCATCCCAAAACTCACTCAGAAGTTCAAATGTAGTACATTAGCACACTGACCATCTCAAAACTCACTAAGAAGTTCAAATGTAGTACATTAGCACACTGACCATCTCAAAGTTCATTCAGAAGTTCAAATGTAATACATTAGCACATTGACCATCCCAAAACTCACTCAGAAGTTCAAATGTAGTACATTAGCACACTGACCATCTCAAACTCATTCAGAAGTTCAAATTAGTACAATAGCACACTGACCATCCCAAAACTCACTAAGAAGTTCAAATGTAGTACATTAGCACACTGACCATCTCTAAACTCACTCAGAAGTTCAAATGTAGTACATTAGCACACTGACCATCCCAAAACTCTCTCAGAATTCCAAACACAGTACATTAGCACACCGACCATCTCAAAACTCACTCAGAAGTTCAAACACAGTAAACAAACCTTTCACCAAAAGCTGGGATGTAAAGTTACAGAGTAATCACACTCAACCTTAACACTTGTAAATGATTTTTTTTCTATATCAGAAGTTCTATATCTTTGTAACTTCCTAGTGTGTCTAATTTCCAGAAGTTTCTTCAAGTGCACGTGTCTTCTTTCTTCTCCGTATGTACTGATAAAATGTTTTTCTAAAAGAGTTAAGTAGTTTTTCTCCTATTGTTTTTTCTTTCCACAACCTTTGAATTTCTAACCATGTCATCTCTATGCTCTAAAGCTTCCAGTTATTCTTAACAGTTTAAACTACTTGTTTCATTTCCATGCCTAAAAACTGTTTCTCTTACATGACCCTTAAAATGAAATGTTATTCAACATTCCAATGTTTCTGTAATGAAAATAAATGGTTATATTCTTTATATTAGGAAGTAACTTGCAATGATTTTTAAAATAATACAGATAACCCAATATCTATAGCATGATAAATTATGTTATAATTTTAAAGTTATATATCTTGAGCAAAATGGTACGTATATATAAATAACACAGACCTTAATTTATTCTATGTGATCATAAAATTGCTTGAAACAATTAATTTCTGTATACATTTATACATTTTAACAAAATTACCTTAGACTATAATATTTTTGGTTAAGTTTAATTTTATAGCTAACCTTGGGCTGTCCTCCAAAACTTAACAATTTGATCTAGTGATCATATGTCTATAAGAGTGTTAGAAGCTTCTAATAAGGAGATTCGAATGAAATGTAACATAAAAATCAAGAATATGAGAGAAAGATTTAAAGTTTCTAAAGTGTACTAGACTCTAATTTTATTTTGAGGTATATTTTACACAGTACGAACATTTTTGACATTGTAAGAAATAAGTGGTTGTTAAAAGAATCACAGGGGATCTAGCTAAATATTGAAATAAACATATACGAATTCTGGAGAGGGGAATTAACCGTCTACTTAGTGGACAGTCTTCGTTTTTCTTGCATTTTTGCTGCAGCTTTCTTTTTCATGATCTGCAGTCTCTTGTCAGCAGACATCAGTGAACTAGAACTAACTGGTTTGGCTCCTACTGTGTTTGAGGAATTGTTTCCATTACTACTGGTGGTTGGATTGGAGTTTCTAGTTACTAAGGAAGAGCTCACAGCATTTAATAAACTGCTCCCAGGTTTATTTCCTCCTGAAACAGTTACTCCTATAGAACTTGAACTCACAGAAGTCTTAGTTCCGGCCAGAGTAGCTGCTTGAGAACTCGTGGAGCCTGAGCTACTGGTGGGAGTCACTTTAGTCTGAGCACCACACGAAACCAAACCCTTTGATAACACACTGGGTGTGATGCTGGTGAAAGGTGGTTTGGTTGCTACTGATGTGGAAGATCCAAGGGTTCTGTTAGTTGAGAAAATAAGTTTAGAAGGAAAGCCAGAGGAAGGAGAAGAGCTAACTGCTGGTCGAGCACTAAGATTTGCAGCTAAGCCAGCCAAACCTACAGGTTTGTTAGTGGTTACAGTTGTAACACTGGTCTGAGTCAGAGGTACCTAAAATCAAGAAACAAGAACTAAGTTAGTAAGATTTAAAGCATTAAATTGATATAATAAGCGTAATTAGCACATTGATGTGACACAATACTACTACCAACCTTACATCTAATTTAAAGTTGCTGTTGGTGGAGATATGTTCAAACGCTCATTTAGTTAAATATATGTAGTACAATGTCTTTCTAGTATCCTGAACATTTAGATTATAGAGATAGAAATACATACTCTACATTTGTTGTTTTAGTTTGTGGACTATAGACAGATAATAACTCTAGAACCACATCAAACATCTGTATCACGTGATCATAACTCTAGAACCACACCAAACATCTGTATCACATGATCATAACTCTAGAACCACACCAGATGTCTGTATCACGTGATCATAACTCTAGAACCTACAACAGTGATACAAGTGTAGATTTGTAACAATAAACATTACCTACAACAGCGACACAAGTGTAGATTTTTAACAATAAACGTAGCCTACAACAGTGACACAAGTGTAGATTGCTAACAATAAACATTACCTACAACAGTGATACAAGTGTAGATTTGTAACAATAAACATTACCTACAACAGCGACACAAGTGTAGATTTTTAACAATAAACGTAGCCTACAACAGTGATACAAGTGTAGATTTCTAAAAATAAAAATTACCTACAATAGTTATACACGTTTAGATTCCTAACAATAAATATTACCTATAACAGTGATACAAGTGTAGCTTTTTAACAATAAACTTTATCTACAACAGTGATACAAGTGTAGATT